AGGAAGAGTAACCGAGTAGATTACTTTATCTGTTTCTTGCAAAAACTCGAGCACAAATAACATAATTGCACATCGCTGTCATTTATCATTCAAACATATCAAATAAAAATTTCCTTCTGGAAGCAAAAGTTTTACTTTCTTTTTTGACATTGATGCTTTAAAATTTAGAGGAACTTTGAAAATGTCAGTTAAAAAACTAACGCGAGCTATTTTAACAATTATTTAGTGTTACGAATGATTTATTGAAAAATAATGCATAAAATAAAACTTTTTTTTCTGATTAGAAATTTTCTATTCAGAAAAAGGACATTGCGCTATGCAATAATTTACTTCAAATTTTTTCAAACTGTTTGGCTCCTTAATGAAGAATGATAAGAATCATTAGAAGATCAGATCATCATTTTTTGTAAATTCCATTTTTCGGTATTTCATGCATTTTCATTATTTTAGAAATTTTCCAATTTTCTATTTTCCAGTACCCCTGCATTGTTGCTTTCCATTTAAAAAAAAACAATTTTAAGTGAAACAAAATTTTTGTGCTTCTTAAATAACTACAATATAACTGATGTAGCGTCTGGAGTTAAAATAACTACGAAAAAAAACACATTTATGGACAGTTTTTTTTTTTAAATAACTACGATAGAGGAAAGATTAGTGTGAACAAACTAGTTCGAATGAATGATATTAAATGAAAATAGAAAATCTGAAATGAACTTCTATTTTCAGCACAATTTTTTCACTTTTAACCTTTTTGATATTTTGTTATGCAAAATTTAGTGAGACGAACGTTTTAGTCGGTAAAAAAAAAAAATGGACGATTTTTTTTAAACTTAACATTACAACCGTGTTAATGGGCATAATTTTACAATAATTAATTATGCACTTATTGTAGAAAACTATGCAATACCTATAGAACAATAATGAAAATTTTTTTGATTTATTCAAATCATAACTTCAAGTAGCTTTGAGTCAGTCAATTTATGCAATTTTGTTTTGTTAAAAATAAGATAACTTTTGAACAAAAGCTGAAAATTCAAACAAACTGAAAATTGAACATGTAAATTTTACAATGAATAGTATGCTATGAGACAAAATTTTTCAAACCTTCTTTTATTACATGTAAATACATGTAGTTGTGAAAAATTCTGTGTGATATCAAATGTTCGTGGTGTTAGTGATAATCAAGATAACAGCAGTGATAATAAGGCAGTATGATAAGATATGAGGAAATGATTAAGTTGCTTTCATTCTTTAACGTCTGGTACCATCTTCGAAGAATACACCACCATCGATAGCACAGTACTTCGGACATACACCCCGTTCGCCAGCTTTTCCAGGTGGTCCTTGTGGGCCAGGTGCACCAGGTTGACCATCTATTCCAGGTTGTCCATCAGCACCGGGCATACCTGGTGGTCCTGGTTGTCCGACTGCTCCATCATTTCCTGGTTGTCCCGGTCGTCCAGTTGGTCCTTGTGGCCCTTGTTCTCCTTAAAAAAGAAAAAAGTATCAGCTAATTTTATCATTTATTTTAACCATTATTTATTACAATACTTTCTTGTCAATATTACACTATTAATTCGGGTTTTCATACAATTTACAATGGACTTATTAACTATGAAATAAATTTATACAGCTAACCTGGCTCTCCCGGAGCACCGCGCTGGAGTGGTTCGTCTGGTGCATTTTCTCCTGGTTGACCATTTGGTCCAGAGGGTCCTGGTGCACCCGGCGGTCCTTGTGGCCCTTGTGGTCCCATTTCACCTGGTTGTCCATCTTGTCCTGGTGCACCTGGTGGGCCATCTGGTCCTGCATCACCCCGTGGTCCCGGTACCCCTGGAGGTCCTGGTGGCCCAGGTGGGCATGGTTTACATGGTGGTGGAGTAACAGGTTCACAAGGTTGCGGCGGTGGCCTGCCAGGGTTACCTGGAAGACCTGCAGCGCCGGGTTTACCTGGTTTACCGGGTCTACCTGGTGGTCCCTTAGGACCGGCTGGCCCAGTGATACAGCAACCTTCGCATTGATTTGCTTGACGGGCTGTTCGGTTGTGTCCAACAATTGGAGACTGTCCGAGTCGCTCCACATCTGTCCAAGTTTCTTTTGCGGATTGCTAAAAGTTACACTATTTTTAGAGTTCTGATAAATTTTTGTAAATTTTTCGAAATTCACTCAATTGTTCATTAAATTCGAACAACAAAAATCGAAGTGATACCGAATGTTTTAAAAAATTTTGCAGTTCTTTTTCAATTGTAAAATGCAACTTGCAATGTATTTACTATAAATAGATTAAATGAACAAAAAAATGATGGAATGTGCATTAAACAATTACTCTAATAATTAACATTTCGTGAAATTTCTAAAAAAATGATGAAATTTTGACTGACAAAAAATTGAACTATTTCATCGAAGTACTATATTAACACTGTTGGATTTCATTTTTCGTTATAATATTATCCGACTAAAAATAATTTCAGAATTTTGAAGTTAATTCCAAACCAGAATTGAGTTAGCTATTACTGTAACATTAAAAAAACATATCAATTATTGAGAGAAATTAAAAAA